TCTGCTAATTGTAGGTGGTGTTCTCAACTTTAGAGGGGCCCTGCCTCCAGCCAGGAGGAGGAGAGGGACAACCGAATTTATTGGACTGTGTGGATTCAATGGCCTGGCACGTTAGAGCCACAAAAGTATAAAGCCCTGGTGGACACTGGTGCACAGTGTACCCTATTGGCATTGAATCATAAAGGGGCAGAATCCGTCACTGTTTCTGGAGTGACAGGCGGGTCTCAAGAACTGTCTGTATTGGAGGCCAAAGTGAGCCTAACTGGGAATAAATGGGAGAAACACCCCATTGTTACTGGCCCAGATGCTCTGTGCATCCTTGGCATAGACTACCTCAAGAAAGAGTATTTCAAAGACCCAAAAGGGTATTGGTGAGCTTTTGGTATAGCAGCTGTAGAGACTGAGGATGTTACGCAGCTGTCTACCTTACCCAGTCTTTCAGCTGACCCTTCTGTTGTGGGACTGCTGAGGGTTAAAGATCAGCAGGTGCCAATTGCTACTACAAAAGTTCATCGATGACAATATCGCACCAACTAAGACTCCCCGATTCCCATCCATAACCTGATTCGTCAGCTAGAGAGGCAAGGAGTGATCAGCAAAACTCGCTCACTCTTTAACAGCCCTATATGGCCAGTGGGAAGTCTGATGGGGACTGGAGATTAACACTAGACTATCGTGGCCCGAATAAAGTCACACCACCACTGAGTACTGCCTTGCTGGACATGCTGGAACTGCAATAGGAATTGGAGTCAAAGGCAGCCAAATGGTATGCTACAATTGACATTGCTAATGCCTTTTTCTCTATTCCTTTAGCAGCAGAGTGCAGGCCGCAGTTTGCTTTCACCTGGAGAGGCGTCCAGTACACCTGGAAATGACTGCCCCAGGGGTGGAAACATAGCCCTACTGTTTGCTGATCCAGACTGCACTGGAGAAGGGTGGAGCTCCAGAACACCTGCAATACATTGATGATATCATTGTGTGGGGTAATACAGCAGAAGAAGTTTTCAAGAAAGGCAAGAGAATAATTAAGATTCTTCTGAAAGCAGGTTTTGCTATAAAAAGAGGTAAGGTCAAGGGACCTGCACAAGAGATCCAGTTTTTGGGAATTAAGTGGCAAGATGGGCATTGTCAAATCCCAATGGATGTGATTAACAAAATAACAGCTATGTCCCCACCTACTAACAAAAAGGAAACACAAACCTTTTTAGGCACTGTAGGTTTCTGGAGAATGCATATTACTGGTTATAGTCAGATTGTGAAACCTCTCTATGAAGTGACTCGAAATAATAATTATTTTACGTGGGGCCCTGAGCAACAACAAGCCTTTGAGCAAATTAAACAAGAGATTGTGCATGCAGTAGCCCTTGGACCAGTCCGAACAGGACGGGACATTAAAAATGCACTCTACACCGCAGCCGGGGACAATGGG